CTTTGGGCTCCTGCCTCAGGGTTATTGTGAACGAAAAAACCCTAAATCTTGAAAAGACGACATTTAGTGTTCTATTTGTATTTTTTTTAAATAAAACTAATTTGTAAAGAAAGCATGAAACAGAAACCCAGCTGGTTGATTTATATTTTTTGGCAAGCTCAGAAAATAATATTACGAGCAACTCAAACACTCGCCTTATTTTTCCCTATACCTTTGTAACATAATGGTGTAAACCTTTGATATTTCAGACTTAGACTTTTTGTTTTAAGAGGATTTTTTATTGGAAATATCAAAGGTCCTCTACATCACTTTGAAATGATATATTAAACTTCATCTATAGCGATTGTTCAATTATTTTGGTAGGAATTTTTTTAATGTTGTAATGAAATATTTCAGTTTGCAAAAATTTTGAATGTTTAAAGTTTTAAAATATATTGATAATTTAAATGGTATAAAATTGTTGTTTCCTGTAACATGAGTTACAGGAATTGTGCAGTTGAAGCAATCCAATTTCACGAAACTGGTGAAACTATTGTTACAAAGAGAAATGCTCACATATGGAGCCACAGTTAAAAATTGATATAGAAGATGGGCGTGAAGCGCCCTAAAAGCCAAGTAGAGTAAATGAAGAATAAGATTGCTTGAATAACGTTTTCCTATTCCACAGTTGTTTGGGCTTCCTGTACGTAGCAAATTTGTATCTAGCATTGTGAAAACTGTCGTGTTTCTGGGATACAATGTACACTGGAGTGTTTCTGGGACACCATGTACTCTGGAGTTTTTCTAGGAAACCATGTACACTGGAGTGTTTCTGGGACACAATGTACACTGGAGTGTTTCTGGGACACAATGTACACTGGAGTGTTTCTGGGACACCATGTACACTAGAGTGTTTCTGGGACACCATGTACACTAGAGTGTTTCCGGGACAACATATACACTGGAGTGTTTCTGGGACACCATGTACACTGGAGTGTTTCTGGGACACTAGACTGTTTCTGGGACACCATGTACACTGGAGTGTTTCTGGGACTCCATGTGCACTGGGGTGTTTCTGGGACACCATGTACACTGCAGTGTTTCTGGGACAAAATGTACACTGGGGTGTTTCTGGGACACTATGTACACTGGAGTGTTTCTGGGACACCATGTACACTGGAGTGAAGGCCGTCTTGTTATTTGGGAAACCCTGTATATTGGGATATAAAAAAACCATTGTTGCTGTTCAGGGTGCACTGAGTAATTTATCTGAATTAAATAAATCTAAAAGTATTGGATCTTTTATATATACCCTATATACCCCATTACATTCAATTTATCTCCATGTATCCATATATCTCTCTATAGTGCTGATAAAAAACTTCCCCTTGGGATTTAAGGATTTAGATTCAGACTTACAAAAACATTTTAGGATTGGTTACATATTCGTCTAAGATGGAAGAAGGGGGGGTGAAGTGCAGTATGATGACAAACTCTTTAAAAATTTAAATTGTATTCGTATGGTAAACAAGTCTGTTCCTACAATTTGAATGTTCAAATCGATTTTTTAAAATGTATTTCTGAATAAACTAAAATGTGTCGTCCATATTCTTAATCCTTTGACGCAAAAAATAAATAAGAATTTTGCGTTAAAGGTTGTAACATTTCTTTGATGAACTAAACAGGTTTTTCGGCTACAAAGAATTATAAGTGTGTTAGTAAGGTAAAGTCTAAGGTCATGGCGTTGCGACACTTACAGTTAACCCAGTCTTGGAAATTGATGCTACTTGTAATAGCGTTCTAGATATATCTATTCTGCAATAACTAGCGTTCTAGATATATCTATTCTACAATAACTAGCGTTCTAGATATATCTATTCTACAATAACTAGCGTTCTAGATATATCTATTCTACAATAACTAGCGTTCTAGATATATCTATTCTACAATAACTAACGTTCTAGATATATCTAATCTACAATAACTAGCGTTTTAGATATATCTATTAGATATAACTAGCGTTCTAGATATATCTATTCTACAATAAATAGCGTTCTAGATATATCTATTCTACAATACCCTAGCGTTCTAGATATATCTATTCTACAATAACTAGCGTTCTAGATATAACTATTCTACAATAACTAGCGTTCTAGACATATCTATTCTACAATAAATAGCGTTCTAGATATATCTATTCTACAATACCTAGCGTTCTAAATATATCTATTCTAAAATAACATCTGGTTTTATCATTATACATCTTACAATCTTATTAGGCAACGTATTTAAAATCTTTTTCCGGACATTAAAAGTTTCCTTAAAAAAGGTTATAAATTTTAATAGTAGAACTAAGCACTTTTCAGTTTTAAAATTTTAATTTTCAGGTCTACAAAAAAGGTTAAGAAGATTGGCAGCTTTATACTACTAGGAGTCAAGACCTAGCAAATTACAAAGTAGGTCCGGTTTCAATAGTTGAAGTATAATCTCTGTAATTTTCTGTACTCTTGTAAACCGGGAATTTTTCTAAAGAAAGTACATAAATAAATCCAACTCGATGAACCATGAACAAATATCTCAATTTTAAATTCTCAGATTTAGAAGCTGAAATATTTGCTTAGCTTACATGCTACATTACCCTTTATATGGAAATACTCTTAAAATTAAATTAAAACTTCTATGGATAATATGAGTTTAGACAAAGTACATGTTCACAGTTCAATTGGTTTAGTTACTCTACTTCTATAGATAATATGAGTTTAGACAAAGTACATGTTCACTGTTCAATTGGTTTAGTTACTCTACTTCTATAGATAATATGAGTTTAGACAAAGTACATGTTCACTGTTCAATTGGTTTAGTTACTCTACGGAATATTTTTAAATATCTCGTTGTGTATCTACTTTATAAAGGTGATGGAAGTAGAAAAATAGCTTACAACATGTTTTAAAATTTATCTTTCAGCTTTTTCAAGAAGTTTTTTTTGGAACCTTTTAAACTGCTCAAAAACCCCAACTCTTTGTTTTAAAAAAGTTTGTGTAACATGTTTGTTGAATGTTGTTGAAAAAGAATTTTATTCAAATCAAGCAAAACATTCAATACGATGATCTAACCACTCTGACTCCATTATCCCCCTTTTAACCCTTTCCTCTACCCCCCGCACTATTTGCTTATTTATGAAGTTTTATCCTACTTTAACAATTCATTGAAATAAACTTAAAGCATAAAATATTAACATCAGTATGTCCAGTAAAAGTGAAAAATATAAAGAAATATTTTTTATCTTCTAAAGATTGCTGAACTTTTCCTTTGCATTTTTGTCGCATGTAGCTAGTACGTTTTAGAGAAAGAATTTAATATTTAAATCTATTATTTGAATTTGAATTCAACTTTAACAATGAACCATCCATGCGAATAATTCTTTAATATATTTTTTTATAATCTGATCGCACTTTTGATCAATCATTCTCGAGAAAAATTGTTATTTCTTGTATTTGACAACAAAAATTTCATTTTCTTTTAATACAATAAATTTTAGTTTTGTGTAAAGATACCCAGATACAGAGTTACCCTGAAAGGATGTTACTTCAGGGACGACTGTACGGAATTTATACTGCTTCTTCAGACGTACGATTCTCTTCAACGATAAACTTGTTTCTTTTTTTTTTGTAAAATCATTGAAAAGGCCATAAAATGAACCGTAATTTTTCATTATTTTTGGTTGACTCTCATTCCTAGTGGGTAACCCTGTACATAAAAAATATTTCAATCAATTTAAAATTATGTTGTTGAATGATTGATGATTTTTTTAGTATAAAATAAACTACCTTTAAATTGTTTCTCTGCTATGTAAACTTATACCGTGGATCACAATACTACTGGGAAAAAAATAAAAAAGAATTTAAGTTTCAACTTTGATTATATCCTTTGGGCATTGGGTTGGGTGAAAATTAAAACAATCCAGCGTTAAAGAATGAGCCACATTTTTCTAATTTTCTTGTTAATTCATACATTCAAATGGTAGAAAAATGTAAGTTTGCAGCATAAATAAAGTCTTACTCAGATGTGTTAAAAGACGTCAGTAAAAATATTTTTAAAATATTCATTCAATGAAAAAAATGATTTTTATCAAAATTATTTACAACATAGAAATAAAAAATGCATAAAATTATTTTAAGGAAAATAAAATTACAATTAAATACAATGATACCATCATCAGTCATCACCCCCAAAGTATACAATAAATAAATAAATTTACGTCCCACCGCGCATATCATTTCCCCTTCCCATATCCTGTGCACTGACTTGAACATGATCACGTCCATTCTTCCCGTCTGAAGTATCAAGCTTAATTTAGCTAAACTAAAATCTTATTGTTAAATGACAAAATAAATATTTTTTCGCCTTTCGAGTTTTGATTCCCTCAACAGAGGAACGTTTAGTTACTTAACGCCCCTTGGGACAATTAAGTAAATTAACCGCCCGCTCTGCTAAGTTTCCGTGAACAAATTTTGCGCATTTTCATCTCAAAAGACGATAAAATTGTGGACAGCTACATTTTCGGGAAATAAAAAAGTGGTTCACTTGACTAATTTTACATTGACCTAGGGAACCCTTGGTAAAATAAAATTCCCTTAACTTCCCTTGAAGTAATAATTATTTCGGAAAAAATATTTTTAAAAACATATAATTTAGAGTTCCAATAAACAAACATAGGAAAATCCAGCTTCTCTAGTTACCAATTTTGCCTTAAAAACATCCCTCACTGCGGTCTGGATGTTTTATAGGCGGATTTGGTCTTAAGAACCCTTCTTAAAGTAAAATTCCCTTAACTTCCCTGTAAAGTACAAATTGTATGCTGGTTTTGGTAATATCTTTTTTTATTTGTTTATAATAAACATTGTAAACACAGAGTGGATGAAAACTTTAAAATAAAGTTTTCTCTTGTTTCAAACTGAAGAGCGAATGGAATAATAATCTGATATGACGGGCTCGGAATACATGAGAATATTATCAGAAAATAAAATGAATGATGATTTGACTGGAATAACAAAAGATGAAAAGGAGGAAAAGGAGGAAAATCAGGATATTGAGAAAACAGATTTGGATTTGGAAAATCAAAACAATTCAGGTAATCAAAACTATGAATTTAAAAGCGAAAACAAAATAAATTTTTTATTTACATACTTGCACAATGTACCTGTACCTATACCTAGCAGCTGTAGCTGTAGCTGTACCTATATCTAGCAGCTGTAGCTGTAGCTGTAGCTGTAGAAGTAGCTGTAGCTATAGCTGTAGAAGTAGCTGTAGCTGTAGCTGTAGCTGTAGCTGTACCTTTACCTGTAAATGTACCTGTACTTGTACCTGTACCTGTATCTGTACCTGTAACTGTACCTGTACCTGTACCTGTACCTGTACCTGTACCTGTACCTGTACCTGTACCTGTACCTGTACCTGTACCTGTACCTGTACCTGTACCTGTAAATGTACCTGTAAATGTACCTTATATCTCTATTATCTATTTTTAAACATATTTTGATATCTACTGGTTCCCTAAAATCTACTGGTTCTCTAGAATCTACTCTTTCCCTGAAATATCCTGGTTCCCTAGAATCTTCGGGTTCTCTAGAAAATACTGATTCCCTAAAATCTACTGTTTCCCCAGAACCTACTGGTTCCCTAAAAACTACTGGTTCCCTAGAAACTACTGATTCCCTAGAACCTACTGGTTCCCTAGAAAATGCTGATTCTCTAAATTCTACTTTTTCCCTAAAACCTACTGGTTCCCTAGAAACTACTGTTTCCCTAAAATCTACTGGTTCCCTAGAAACTACTGGTTCCCTAGAACCTACTGGTTCCCTAGAAAATGCTGATTCTCTAAATTCTACTTTTTCCCTAAAACCTACTGGTTCCCTAGTGGTTCCCTAGAATCTACTGGTTCCCTAGAAACTACTGGTTCCCTAGAATCTACTGGTTCTCTAGAAACTACTGGCTCCCTAGAACCTACTGGTTCCCTAGAAACTACTGGTTCCCTCGAATCTACTGAAGATGTACCCTGGGAGTCTAAACTTACAGTTAGATCAACTTTGGTAAGCTATTCTTCTTTACAATATATCAATGTAAACTATAAGGTGTCCAAGGATGACCAATTTCAGAAAAAAGATGCGTGCGGTAACTGATCTGAAATTTTAGCTCAATATTTTGAGAACTATAGGATATAATCGCTGCTAAAGTTTCAAAAGCCTTCAATAGTTTTTTTTATATTTCTTGATTTTCAGAAAAAACGAAAAAATTCATTGGAATTTGAGTCTGAATCACTAGTTTAAAAAAAATTAGCGGATTCGAATTTCTTAATAAAAAACGAGAAATTTTAATATTAAATGATAAATTCATGAATTTTTTTTTGACCTGTTTTAGAAGTTTTTGAAACTGTAGCGTCGATTATATCCTGCAGTTATGTATGAGCTGTGGACCTAACATTTTTAGGAATCATTTACAGAATAAAGTGTTTTATAAAGGCAGACGCCTAAATTCAACCGGATTTGGGATTGTTTTGTTTAAGAGTTACAGGTCGTCTTTACAATCACATTTTTTGTTGTAAGCCAGAATTTGTTGTTTTAGTATTTTCTGATATGCTTTGAACTTTGTTCCCCTGATATTCATCATTTCAAAATCACTTTTGGATTTTATTCCAAGCTTAAAGGGATTGTAAAGGAAAAATAAAAGGGGGTATAGGCTGAAATCTGAGAATCTCAGGCGTTGAACGATACATATATAAGACATCTATCTGATGTTCCTGTCTCGAGAAATTGACTGTATCAAAATTCAAAATTATACCACATTTTATTTATGAATGATATACTTCCGTATCACGTGACCAGAACTCACTCCAAATAAAAAATTAAATTTGAAAATTATCAAATTCAAATAATATCGTCGTTTTCAGATTGGTTACGTATTTGTTGTATATGATCTGGTTATTACTAAGAATCTTAAACAAAATTTTACATATATACGTTTTGGTATAATTTGGACACAGTTTTAAATCAATTTCTCGAGACAAGAATATCATATAGAACCGTTATATAGGTCTCAATCAGCTCCTGACATTCTCAGGTTTCAGCCTATACCCCCTTTCATTTTTCCTGTACAGTCCCTTTAAAGAAACTGTAAGCGTAATTTTAAGTAAACATCAAATTAAAAAACGGATATGCCCGATTTACAACAGTACCCTTAAAAGCTTTGTCTGATCAAATATAGTGAAATATATTCATGTGTTGGTTTCTTTAGACTGCTCATTTTTATTTGCGGGCTCTCTGCAAAAGTGATTTTGCATTTGTTGCTTACAATTGTAGCAATGGAGAAATGATCAGAATTAAACGCTTTTCGAGTCAGGAAAACGACGTTTTCTTCCACACTTTTAATCCGAATTATGTTTCAAGGGTACCGTTGTAAATCGAGCATTGCCATCTTGGATATTCACTTAAAATTACTCTTACAGTCCCTTTAAGCTTGGATTAAAATCATTGTGTCTAGAAATCTTTATAGGAAACCTCTCAAATAAAATCCATGTGTTTGAAACCAATCCAATATAATCCATGTGTCTGAAATCTATCCAATATAATCCATGTGTCTGAAACCTATCCAATATAATCCATGTGTCTGAAACCTATCCAATATAATCCATGTGTCTGAAACCTATCCAATATAATCCATGCGTCTGAAACCTATCCAATATAATCCATGTGTCTGAAATCTATCCAATATAATCCATGTGTTTGAAAACAATCCAATATAATCAATGTGTCTGAAACCTATCCAATATAATCCATATGTCTAAAACCAATCCAATATAATCCATGTGTCTGAAACCTATCCAATATAATCCATGTGTTTGAAACCAATCCAATATAATCCATGTGTCTGAAATCTATCCAATTTAATCCATGTGTCTTAAACCTATCCAATATAATCAATGTGTCTGAAATCTATCCAATATAATCAATATGTCTGAAACCTATTCAATATAATCCATGTGTCTGAAACCTATCCAATATAATCCATGTGTCTGAAACCTATCCAATATAATCCATGTGTCTTAAACCTATCCAATATAATCAATGTGTCTGAAACCTATCCAATATAATCCATGTGTCTGAAACCTATCCAATAACTAATATAAGAACCTCCTCTGCTATGCGGCAGTTTCTATACTAACTGTTAATTTAGTTAACAAGTATATCCGTATCTTTATTCCCAGATATATCCGTATCTTTATTCCCAGATATATCTGCATTTTTATTCCCAGCTGAATCTGCATCTTTGTTCCCAGATAAATCTGTATCTTTATTCCCAGATAAATCTGCATTTTTATTCCAAGATAAATCTGCATCTTTGTGCCCAGATATATATGTATCTTTATTCACAGATAAATCTGTATCCTTATTCCCAGATAAATCTGTATCTTTATTTCCAGATAAATCTTTATTTTTATTCCCGGATAAATCTGCATCTTTATGCCCAGATATATCTGTATCTTTTTTCCAAGATAAATCTGTATCTTTATTTCCAGATAAATCTGTATTTTTACTCCCAGATAAATCTGTATTTTTACTCCCAGATAAATCTGTACCGAAGTTTACCGCTGAGAAGGTTTTCAGTCCAGTTCGGTAGTTTAGCAGACAAACCATTTCCTCAACCCTTAGCAGGTAGATAATTTAGAAAGGTATCTTACTAAAAGAGGTATTATATTTAAAGAGGTATCTTATTTAAAGAGGTATCTTATTTAAAGAGGTATCTTATTTAAAGAGGTATAATTTTTAAAGCGGTATCTTTTTTAAAGAGGTATCTTTTTTAAAGAGATATATTTAAAGAGGTATCTTATTTAAAGAGGTATCTTATTTAAAGAGGTATCTTATTTAAAGAGGTATAATTTTTAAAGCGGTATCTTTTTTAAAGAGGTATCTTTTTTAAAGAGATATTTAATTTACAGAGGTATTTAATTTAAAGAGGTATCTTTTTTTAAAGAGGTATCTTATCTAAATAGGTATCTTATTTAGAAAGGTATCTTTTTTAAAAGGTATCCTATTAAAAGATGTATCTTATTCTAAAAGGTATACTATTTAAAGATGCATCTTACTAACTTCATTTACATAAGAAACTAGATTCTTGTGTCACAGTCCCATGAACATTGATTATTTATATTTTCCGCACATATTGGAATTTCATTCTTTTATATCTAAAATATTGGATTCGGATTGAAATGATGAATTCAGCTTGGAAGAAGGTTGATAGTATAACCCAAGAACTCCGGTTTATTTGGAATACTGGCAGCTAGAGCTAGAGCACTTCGTAACGTATGCATGCATTGTTTTAAAAGGCTTCCCACTTAACTTAGTATCTCAAGACAAAGCTGATAACATTCCCGTGGTTCTACCGAGTTCCCAAATCAAAATTTGAGACAAATCGGTCCAGGGGTTCATGATCGGACATACGAACAAACAAAATATAAATGAAGTCTTAAGACGGCAAACGTTACAGTACAGTACAGTACAGTACACCCAATAAATCATCCTCTTCCAGTGAGATTATCGTCCGATGCACAACAAAACCTTTCTAAAATAATCCCTCTACTCGACACAAAAGAGTCGGAGAAGAGTTAGGATAAGTTCAAAAGATTCAGCATACATAACTAAACAAAAGAAACTATTACTTTTGCAAATGATGAAATCTAACAATGCAATTTTAAAAGAATTGTGAGCCAATACTATATGTAAGTTCAAAATTCTTTGTAAAAAGTTGACTTTAAAATTAGATTTTTTGAGAATATTTTGACCATAATGACTTTCGAATAATGTCATGAAATAAAAAAATCGTTAAAAATCGAGTTTTTGCCAACTTTGAACTTGGAACAAAACCTCGTAAAAATTCAAGATTATAAGTTAAATGTTAAAACTTTTTTTTGCTACCCTAATCCCCCCCCCATCTACTAATTTTTTCAAATTTGTTGATTTTTCCCAGGTTTGCTGGTTCTTCTTTACTCCAGGGTGTGTGGGTGTAACCTAGGAGAAGCAAACCCAGATTCTATCTGGGAATACAAATCTCTAGCTCAGTTCTTTGCCAGGGATCTTAAACCTGGTTCTAGGTAGGTTGGTAGGTAGGTAGGTAGGTAGGTAGGTAGATAGGTAGGTAGGTAGGTAGGTAGGTAGGTAGGTAGGAGGGCTGGTAGGTAGGGAGGTAGGTAGGTAGGTAGGTAGGTAGGTTGGAAGGTTGGAAGGTAGGTAGGTAGTCAGGAGGGGGTAGGTAGATGGGTAGTTAGGCAGGTAGGTAGGTAGGTAGGTAGGTAGGTGGGTAGATGGATAGTTGGGTAGATAATTAGATAGGTAGGTAGGTAAGTAGGAAGGTAGGTAGGAAGGTAGGTAGGTAGGTGGGTAAGTAGGTAGGTAGGTAGGTAGGTAGGTAGGTAGGTTTGTATGTATGTACGTAGCTAGGTAGGTATGTATGTATGTAGGTAGGTAGGTAGGTAGGTAGGTAGGTAGGTAGGTAGGTGGGTAGATGGATAGTTGGGTAGATAATTAGTTAGGTACTATGAAGGTAGGTTGTTAAATAAGTAATTATACAAATCTCTACCTCAGTTCTTTGCCAGGGATCTTAAACCTGGTTCTAGGTAGGAAGGTAAGTAGGAAGGTAGGTAGGAAGGTAGGTAGGAAGGTAGGTAGGTAATTAGGTAGGTAGGTAGGTACATATCAAGATAAGTATAAGGAAGAAAATAGAACCTGAAGAAAATATGTTTAAAATGATATTTGTATTTTCTATTTAGAAATATTTCAAGTCGAAGTAGAATAGTGTCCCCTGCAGATGGTAGAATAACATTTAGGTAATTCTTGAAACAATTTTACAATAGATTAAATCTAAAATTTCTTGTTTTCCTTTTCTTACAAATCTTTACTTTTTCTTTTATTTTTAATATTTCTTTCGGTTTTGTTTTTCTTCCCTCCACTTCCCTCCACTTCTATTCACTTGAAGTTTAAATAATAATCTATAAAAACGTTTAAAATCAATTAAAGATGAGACTGTTGGAACTAAATAAAATTCTGTTTCCAACGTTTTAATGATACATGTTCTTTACTGAAAAACAATTTGTAATACCAGGCATTCAGGGTGCATCGTGGCCCTCTTCTAGCAACAATTTAAGCGTTTAAATGTTCCTTTTTTGTAAAACTAAAAAATTTCCGGATTTTTCTGAATAGATTTCTAATATTAAAAATTCCATATTATTTCCAGATAAATATTTTCACTTTTAACCATCCGTAAACCTTCTCTTGGTTCTTGTGAGTTGAAATAAATTTGTTTGGCCTGATCGGTTCAGCTGTTTTGACGGTAATTGTAAACAACAGACAAACAAGCCAAGTTTATACATGAATTTTATATATACATAGTGTGGGCAGGTATATTAATATTAGGCTATTATATATCTGAAGCCAAACCGTTATGAAAGTATTAATTTCTATGTCAACTGCAGATATTATGATATTTCTCTGTATAACAGTTTGGGATTTAAAATTAAGTCTAGAGTATATAAAGTGAATGTTCTACAGTCAACTATATCTAGGGGGGCCTGGTGCATGTAGAGTGTAGAGTGTAGAGTGTAGAGTGTAGAGTGCAGAGTGTAGAGTGTAGAGTGTAGAGTGTAGAGTGTAGAGTGTAGAGTGTAGAGTGTAGAGTGTAGAGTGTAGAGTGTAGAATGTAGAGTGAAGGTTTATATCCCTAAGAGCAATAAGACAAGTTGCATCATTACCAGCAGATCTTTTAAACCTGCGTCCTTTCATTTAATCCAAGTATTTCTAAACATCTTCAAGCATGAAGATATTTTGTTAGAAATAAAAAGTTTTGATACGGGGTTGCACAGAGAAACTTTTAAAGGGTAATTGCACCAAAAACACTGACATTTTTATCACGAATTGTATTTAATCTAAAGGATATAAATTTATTAAAAAAAAATTCGTACAAATCTAATTTACGCCTCGCGCATTTATTTATTTATTTTTATCTTGAAACAGATAATTGTGTGTTAGACATTACTATGGTAAACTAGAGTATACATAGGGAGTGTATACTGATAAACCAGAGTATACAGAGGGAGTGTATACTGGTAGACTAGAGTATATATAGGGAGTGTATACTGGTAGACTAGATTATATAAAGGGAGTGTATACTGGTAGACAAGAGTATATAAAGGGAGTGTATACTGGTAGACTAGAGTATATAAATTGGGAGTGTATACTTGTAGACTAGAGTATATAAAGGGAGTGCATACTGGTAGACTAGAGTATATAAAGGGAGTGTATACTGGTAGACTATAAAGGGAGTGTATACTGGTAGACTAGAGTATATAAAGGGAGTGTATACTGATAGACTAGAGTATATAACGGCAGTGTATACTGGTAGACTAGAGTATATAATGGGAGTGTATTCTGGTAGACTAGAGTATGTAAAGGTAATGAATACTGGTAGACTAGAGTATATAAAGGGAGTGTATACTGGTAGACTAGAGTATATAAAGAGAGTGTATACTGGTAGACTAGAGTATATAAAGGGAGTGTATACTGGTAGACTAGAGTATAAAAAGGGAGTGTAGACTGGTAGACTAGAATATATAAAGGGAGTGTATACTGGTAGACTAGAGTATATAAAGGGAGTGTATAATGGTAGACTAGAGTATATAAAGGGAGTGTATACTGGAAGACTCCAGTATATAAAGGGAGTGTATGCTGGTAGAATAGAGTATATAAAGGGTGTATTCTACTGTCTACTATATATATTTATAGGGGAGTGTATGCTGGTAGACTAGAGCAGATAAAGGGAGTATTCTACAGTCTACCGAAGTTTCTGGGTTCCAAATCTACAAATCCAAGGGAAAATCAACTCTAATTTTATGTTTTAAGTTTAAGTTTTATTAGTTTATTAACAATTTATTCCCTACATAGTTCCTCCTGGAAATCAATCTTTATAAAAAGTCACAACAATATTGTGTTCATATTTTTTTAATATATAATACTAGGCTTTAGGGCGCTCATCTTCTATTTCAACTCCTGTGAGCATCTTCTCCAGGGGACGGGCATAACTCTCCTAATTTTGCCTGGCTAGGTTTAAACTGTACAGTGAAATTTGTCGAAAAATGTTTCCTTATGACTGATACAAAAATCATATGGACTTGTTTTCTTTGTTTGAATATTGTAGTCTTCACTTTCAAACAATAACTTTCAAAACTGATCTACGAATTATGATCCCCCCAGGTAGAATTTCTGAGCGGGTCATTGTGTACAGTGGCTGTACAACAAGAAGTCTAAAATTCCAGATGCCCCCTCTATTACTAATATCTTCTCTTTGTACAATGTAAAATAATAACAAAAAAACTCGCGGATTTAAAAAATTTTTTTCGTGGATTTTCAAACTGTTACTCAAATCTTTAAAATGTTGGAGGCAAATTTTTGTAATTTTGAACATCATTAATATACCTTTCCTGGGGTCACATGAGGTCCGATAAAAAAGTTTGGTCCGATCGCTCCACCCGTTTTGGCCTTTTATTGGTTGCAAACAAACAAACACCCAGACAAGCCAAAAATATATATATAGATTTTCTCTTTATAATATTAAAGTTTAAAACTTTTATTACACTCATTCTCAAGTTGTTGAATTCTCTTTAGTTTACAGAAATATTTGAAGTTCTGCTTATATCAGGTATTATTGAACGTTGGTAAATTTAAACATATTTGAAGTTCTGCTTATATCAGGTATTATTGAACCTTGGTAAACTTAAACTAGTTGAAGTTCTGCTTATATCAGGTATCATTGAACCCTGGTAAACTTAAACATATTTGAAGTTCTGCTTATATCAGGTATTATTGAACCTTGGTAAACTTAAACTAGTTGAAGTTCTGCTTGTATCAGGTATCATTGAACCCTGGTAAATTTAAACATATTTCAAGTTCTGCTTATATCAGGTATTATTGAGCCTTGGTAAACTTAAACATATTTGAAGTTCTGCTTATATCTGGTATTATTGAACCTTGGTAAACTTAAACATATTTGAAGTTCTGCTTATATCAGGTATTATTGAACCTTGGTAAATTTAAACATATTTGAAGGTTTGCTTATAGCAGGTAAAAATTGAACCTTGGTAAATTTAAACATATTTGAAGTTCTGCTTATATCAGGTATTATTGAACCCTGGTAAACTTAAACATATTTGAAGTTGCTTATAGCAGGTAAAAATTGAACCTTGGTAAATTTAAACATATTTGAAGTTCTGCTTATATTGAACCCTGGTAAACTTAAACATATTTGAAGTTCTGCTTATATCAGGTATTATTGAGCCTTGGTAAACTTAAACATATTTGAAGATAAGACTAAATCCTTAAAAAAGACATCAGTAATGTAAAAAGCATGAGTTTTTACTGTTGTTTGGTCCCCTTTTTCAACTAAATAATTAAAGATAACATAAAAATCAAGTAAGAAATGTTGTAAAACTTCACATTTATTGGTATTTTCAAATTGTGCTCCTCCAACAAATTAAATGATAAATACTTAAAAAACGATTGATTAAAGCTTTGGAAAATATCAATTCTAGTTTAAAGAAAATTAGATGCAAGGGGGCCCACAAAAGATTATATATTAATGACGACCTGTAGAACAAAAAGGTGTACAAACCCTATTTAATTAAGCAATTTCCTGTATGTTTCTCAATTATTTATAACAGTTTAAAGGGACTGTTAACGTACTTAGAAGTGACCCTCAATGCAAAGATGGCAATGCCCGAGTAGCAACGGTATCCTTTTAAAGCGTTGTGTGATCAATGTTTAATTGGATATCAATTGTATAATTTAGAAAACTATTTTGCGCATTTTCTACTTAAGAAAAACATACAGAAGTTATTAGAATTAAACACTTTTAATCCTGGAAAAGCGACAATATCTTCAACATTTTTTATTAGATAAAGTTTTCAAGGGTGCATTGCTGTCTTTGAATGGAGGGTTAATTAAAAATACTCTGACAGTCCCTTTAAAGGGAAACCTTCCAAACATTTATGTAATTTAAGATAACGTTGACCAGTCCTTTTAAGGTTGTGATTTACCTCTGTCCGGGGGATTATCATGGGTTTCATTCTCCAACCAGGTGATTAATTAATCGACATCCCTTTCACCAACATTACCGTCCCATGATTCCCCAGCAGAGGGACATCAAGATACTTTACGACAATTAAGTTAAATACCAACCCTCTCTGCGAAGTTTCATGAAAAAAATCGCACATTTTAATCTTAAAAGACGATAAAATTGTGAACAACCACTTTTTCGGAAAATTAAATTTGGAACATTTTTGATTTTACTTAATCACGAGTTCCCTCAAACCCATGGTAGAGTAAAATTCAATTAACCCATGGTAAAGTAAAATTCCATTAACCCATGGTAAAGTAAAATTCCATTAACCCATTTTAAAGTAAGATTCCATTAACCCAAGGTAAAGTAAAATTCCATTAATCCATGGTAAATTGAAATTCCATAAACCCTTTGTAAAGTACAATTCCATAAACCCATGGTAAAGTGAAATTCCATTAACCCATAGTAAAGTAAAATTCCATTAACCCATGGTAAAGTAAAATTCCATTAACCCATGGAAAAATGAATCATTAACCCATGGTAAAGTAAAATTACATTAACCCATGGAAAAGTAAAATTCCATTAACCCATGGAAAAATAAAATTCCATTAACCCATGGTAAAGTAAAATTCCATTAACCCATGGTAAAGTAAAATTCCATTCACCCATGGAAAAGTAAAATTCCATTAACTGCCCTGAGTCCGAATTTAATGAATTTAAGCCGCGTCGTAAATCTTTTAAGCTGCAAAGATATAGGAATAGAAAATTTAAAATTGTGACAAAAACTCAATTTCTTTCGGAACACTTTTAAGTCCCGACTGACCACTTTTTCCCCCTGCCTATAGAGTTTATTTGTTAACATTTACACCTGCCACATATATTGATAGATGTTAAGTTTGTGATCTCTACAATAGTCATGTTAATGTTTACACCTGCCACATATATTGATAGTCATGTTACATTACACGTGCCACATTGATGGTCATGTTAATGTTTACACCTGCCACACATATTAATAGTCATGTAATGTTACACATGCCACATATATTGATAGTCATGGGATAAAACTGGCCAAGGGTTGAGTTGCAAAATATTGAGATCAAGTTTGGATTTGTGTAATTTTCGTATGATCTCTTAAAATCCCGTCTCCACCCTTGACCAATGATCACGTGATTATAAAGTTGTAATAAAAATATATATTGAGCTGGAGACTGGAACGAATAAGCCATATATCCGGTGAGCTGATGAGTGTGGCTCCAGGAGTACTCCAGCAGGTTCCAGGCCTCCTTCATCTAAATGAACGGGTTGTTCTTGAGGGAGAGTGGAGGGAAGGACAAAGCATAATTAATTAGTTGATTGATAAATTTATTGATTTCAAACTATTTCTCTTATCACAAACTGAAACTATGCTTTGGAATGCTATTTAAGTAAAGGCCCTTTTATTACTTTAACCACATTTTATTATTATTATTTTTGTTAAAACCCGGGGTTTTTTCTTCAATTGACTTCTTCACTCTATTTTATTAGTCTTATAGTTGTTGTATTTTTAACATCTTGTGGAAAATGAGAATAAATGATATTGTTTGCAGAACCTGATATAAAAGCTTTATTGGCTTTTCAAGTCATAGTGGAAATGATTTTATTGCATTTTTGCTTTGATACCTTGATACGGATATTTTTGCTGTGAAACTTAGATATGGATATTTTTACTTTAAAACTTAGATATGGATATTTTTGCTTTGAAACTTAGATATGGATATTTTTGCTTTGAAACTTAGATATCGATATATTTATTTTGATACCTTAGATACGGATATTTTTGCTTTGATACCTTGATACGGATATTTTTGCTTTGATACCTTGGATATTTTTGCTTTGATACCTTGATACGGATATTTTTGCTTTGATACCTTAGATAAGGATATTTTTGTTTTGATACAGGGTGTCCCACGAAACATGACAGTTGGTATAAATAGTTTAGAATGTCTTCTTCCATAATTTTATAAGTTTTTTTATACGAAAGACAATAATAAAAATATTATTTAGGAGTCATTAATTTGTAACATTAATTTCAAAGTAAAATATACTAGAGCAAAAGATTTTTTAAACGAAATAAACTGCAAACAGCCTTTAATATCTAATACAGTGTATGGAAGACGACATTCAAAACTATTTATCAACTGTCATGTTTCGTGGGACACCCTGTACCTTAGATGCGGATATTTTTGCGTTGATACCTTAGATACGGATATTTTTGCTTTGATACCTTAGATATGGATATTTTTGTATGGTTGCAGTCGGAGCTACTAGTGTAGGTTCTATAGGTAAACACAGAGATTAATCTTATTTAATTATTTTTCCTTTCTTAGACCCAGCATTTTTTCTGGGGCCTCACTGACATAGACTGAATTGCTTTGCAAAAATGTCTAAAAACTAATTTTTATGTCTTGAACCAAATAATATTTAACAGAGCGGAAATTCTTATAAAATTTATGCAAAAAGAAATCTAAAATAGTTTTAAAAACTTAGAAGTCAAGATTATCACCAGATCATTATTATTATCATCATTATATTTCTATATTTACATTATTACCCCTATATAATGATAATGCTTATTACTATTATTTATCAGAAATTACCAGCTGGCCTGAATTAAGAACAAATCTACTAAACGACAAGACTCAGGTAACAATATAATATTTAAGGATAAATCTTTTAGTTGTGAATCTTAAAAACATCCTCCTTCACGACCCACTGTGAACCAGTTGTGAATCTGAAAAACATCCTCCCTCACGACCCACTGTGAACCAGTTGTGCATCTTGAAAGCATCCTCCTTCACGACCCACTGAACCAGTTGTGAATCTTAAAATCATCCTCTTACATAGCTCACTGTGAACCTAAAAAAAACGTTTTGCAGCGTTGGAATATCAGATCTATAGGGCTTCAAATAGGAATAAATAAGTGTAACAGATTATGTGTTAACAACTGTGAAATCTCATCAAATCGTTTGAAGCTGTGTGAAGAGATAAACTGTCTTGAATTTGGTCAATTTATTGTAATTGGACAGAAACTCCTTTTACTACCTCCTTACTCAACTATAATGTTAAAGGGAGTGTTTTGGAAATATAGATTCAAATACAGGTTCAAATCCCATCTGGAAAGTAAGCAGCAGAGTATACTGGCGATTATAATAGAGAAACTAGACTAGAAGCTCATGTCGTTTTCACCAGCAGAATTCAGCCCGCAGGAGCAATCTCTTATATGCAGAGTACAGTCCCTTTAAACAATTGATTATATCCCTACATGTAGAGTACAGTCCCTTTAAACAATTGATTATATCCCTACATGTAGAGTACAGTCCCTTTAAACAATTGACTATACCTCGGATATAACCCTGTATAAGTATATCTGGACTGAAGGGTGTATTGACAAATGATTACCGAACGGTGTCTCAGACAATGTCTAGCCAATGCTTAGATCAATTTTCATCAACATTCTTTTTTAGTTTTATACATTACCAAAAAATACATACATACAGATTCACATCATTCTGAACTGAAGTCTCTATTTAAAAGCTTTAGTCTCTAGTTAAAATATTGAAAACTTGTGTTAGAATTCATCCCTTGATTTCGATATCCACTCTGAAAACTTTTAAAGGAATTGAGCCTTCACAGCCGCAATCTCTAATTTTTAAAATATAAAAATAGATACTTTAAACTATGCATTCTTTTAGATTAAATAACCTAAATTTGAAATTTGAAAGGTTTACACCATCAGGTTGCAAAGATAAAGTGATAAGTAGATTTGAGTTTGTGGCAAGACTCGATTCCTTAGAGGAACACAACATTTTTGACCCCAATAGGACCCATAATTTACAAAGTGTTAATTTCAACAGTATCCTTAGAATTTCAGTAAATTTGATCTATGGCTCAAAATAAGATTATACGATAAAAGAAAGAGGAAGACATGATGTCGAATGTGGTGTAATGGAAAGTATAAAAGTGTGGAATAAGAAACAAGTATTGATAGGAAAAAGAAAATGGAAAATGTGACAGATGTTGGTAATTTGTAAAGTTATTTCCTAGTTTAAAACTTTTAGATCGTTAATGTATTCAAATCATTTCTCATTTTCTGAATATTGCAAAGTTTAAAAAAATATTTCCACTGCTTTGTATTCGTTTAAATCAAATTTTTAATTAATTTGATTTTTTTTTAGAAAATTACAAGGCGTCAGCTTAATACCCCTACTCAGTTGGAACCGGGTCAAAAAATTGGACAGTTTAGGTATTTTTGGAAATTACGAAGTTCTTTTATTAAATTAAAAAATTCTAATGCAAATTATAACAATATCCCATTTACAAATTTTAAATATTATAGCAACTACAAAAGTTTGTGTTTGAATTACTAAATGTTTTACGGAATCTTGAATCTACTTTTACTTTTAAAAATAAGTTTTGCATCATGTACACTGTACTTTCTCAAAGGATTTTTTCCCAAGTGGCAACTTCCCAAGGGTATTTTCCCCAGAGGCAACTTCCCAACTGTGCAATTTTCCAAGTCTGTCCTAGCCGCAGCGCTTGGCCCCCCGGCATGTTCTAGCTGCGGCGCTAGGCCACCTAGCCCATCTTAGCCGCAGCGCTCGGCCCCGATTGCAGCCTGCGGCGCCTGAGATGGCCTATACCTTTGGCAACTTGCCGCTTGAGAAATTGTACACTTGTGAAGTTGCCACTTGGGAAATTGTCACTTGAGAAGTCGCCCTTCGAAAAACGCCTTTGGAAAAATGCCTTTGAGAGAGTACCTAACATCTACACTGTACAGTGTACATGAAATCCATGTAGTAAAATGTTTAGGTTTGGTTCGAGTGTAGTTCTTCTGTTTGAGGCACCCAGAGGGTTAGAATTTATCAAACAAGCCGGTGCAACATTAAAACTTGGAGAACATTTGCTCTGAAAACTAGGAAAACATTTGCTCTGAAAACTAGGAGTATATTTGCTCTGTAAACGAGGAGAATATTTAATCTGAAAACTGGGAGAATATTGCTCTGAAAATTGGGATAATATTCCTATGAAAAATAGGAGACCATATGCTCTGAAAACTTGGAGAACATTGCTCTAAAAACTAGAAGAATTTATCCCTGAAAACTTGAAGAACATTTTCTCTGAAAACTGGGAGAACATTTGCTCTGAAACCTAGGAGAACATTTGGTTTGAAAACTGGGAGACCATTTGCTCTAAAAGCTTGAAGAACATTTGTTCTCAAAAACTTGAATAAAAATTGCTCTGAACATTGCTTGGGAAAGTTGGGAAACATATAAATACTGAGAACATAACAACTCTAACAACTGCAGTTCAAAGTGCATATATACATGCATGCAGGAAAAAAAAATAATTTCAACAACTGATATTCTCTTGTTTCATGAAAATAATTGCAATAAAAAGATTAATATCGGAAGCTACAGTAAGAATTTTTGAAAAGGTATATTGTAGATATATAAAATAGAATTTTGATTAAGTCAAATTAAAATTAGAATTATTGCAGATTTAGAAATTTTATAAATATTATTCTGAATCAAGAATTTAGCTTGTTTCTTTATGTTTTTCTTATTATTTAAGAAAATGAATAATTATGATAATATGTAATGTTAATACGATAAGAACATTATAACTCAAGTTTGAAATTACCGATATTTAAGTATAAGACAAGAAATTTTATTTTAGAATGCCAATGTTTTGTGCTACATTATAGCAATAGTTTAATTTAAGTTGATACAAAGCAATTAAATACTAATATTAAATCACTCTGGAAGAAAATGGGTATTCATACACTTGGATTATTCAAAGAAATAACTTGAGTTTATTTTAGAATTTTCTGCTTCTCATTGTAAAACAAAAACAAAATGTATTTGACCGAACATTTAAATGAGAACATTTTAATTTTTTTTCATTTAGAAAAAAAGGCATTTGAAAAAGATACCATCTCCATAATTCAAATCATCTATGTATGTTTTAAAATTCTCAGTCAAGGGTGTCCATGCGCAATAACGTTTTATTCAATTTCAGGAAAGTTTGATTAAGTTTGTTAAAAATTGCATGTAATACTAATAACAAATATATTTTAAAGTTAATTATCAAAAAACTAGCCTTTGAGAAAATGCACAGCTATGACTACACAAGCGATAAGTTTTAGCGCACTGATGCGCAAAATGTGTATTGTTCTTGTAATATCCATAGCAATCAGAGACGCTGGAAAATAGTTTTTTTGTCCTAAAAATATTTCTTCTACAAGATGACTATTAAAATTGTACAGATAAGTTAGCCAACTTCGGAGCAGATCTTGCGCTATTGTTGCGCAATTGCGCATTGAAATACTCTTCGAATAATGTTTTATGTTAAAACCGACTTTATTTATATCAAAGTACAACCTAATTTTTAAACTGATGTTTAAACGTGCTTTTCTATAACAGTGAATAATGGGTCCAATATAGGGTTCAATTTAACTTATTTTCTTAAAACTTGAAACTGTTGGAATTACGCAAAGAATGAATTGATGGCTTGCCACAACATCTAATTTGTTAATCCTAATATATATCTAAAGATAAAAGCTACTTTTGATGATATTTCAAGCTATAAGTCCTGTTGGGTCAAATAGTTTATACCATTAGGTTGCAAAGATAAAAGGATTATACTATTTTAGTTTTTCACAGGAACTCAATTTTCAATTCTAAACTTGTGTAAGTGATTATCAAATTCCCATTCATGTTTATGTAAAATGTAATATTTATTAATTTAGTGTTATTATAATAAATATTGTGCTTTTTGATTATAGTTTTGTAGGAATATCTGAGAAAGGTTCTAATCAGGGCGGAACCAACTTTTTGAAAAAATTATCATTTTAACACGCTTGCTAAAAGAAATATTTTCCCCAGAGGTAGGGATTCCATGCGCTAATACTTGTTATTCAGTTTTAGGAAAGTTTTACCAAAGGAATTGAGTCTTTGCCACATACTCTGATTTTCCAATCACTATATTTTTGGAACCAAATGTTGCAGACCTTAGATATTTCAAACCATGAATTATGTTAAATCAAATAATCAGAGTTTGAAATATCAAAGGTTTACAACATCGAGTCCTAAAGATATTAAGGTTTAAATATTTGATTTTGTTCCATGCAAAGACTCAATTCCTTTGTTAAAACTTGTCTTTAATAAAAATAAAAATACGTTTAGCTGGTAATTAAAAAACATCTTACCACAAATATTGCTATATATGCGATAAGTTTAAGTGCGCGGATGCAAACATTTTCTGGGATACATATAACAACACTGGTAAATTGATTTTTGTAGCATGCACTACATAGATTTGAATTTAAACAGAAGGTTGTCAGATAAGGTTTGGACCTATTACTGTTGCGAATGGTATATTTGTATTTAGACGTGCACAATCTAAAAATTTAGGGTTGACTTAAATCTCTAATATTGTAATTAATCTTTCCAATTAAACTATAGTCCTTAATTCCTTAATCTGTTAAGCCTTAAAATATAAGATACTAGCTCAATTGCCCGGCTTTTCCCGTGGAATATTTTTAATTGGAATTTTGAAAAAAAAATATTTGATTTTTTAATAATTTTTTTTGATTTTAAGCCTATGTTACCCCCGGGGTGTACTCGAGGGTTCCCTCAATAAAACCACCCCATTCGGTACAGCCGTTTGGCCAGCTATAGCTAGCATATGACTTAAATATATTATTAAAATACGTCCACGAAGGCGTAAAGTACGACGCTTTGCATTTTCATTTTTATCTAATTTTCAATTTGGATTCGTCCTTGCTTAAATGTCGTCTTCTCTTTGCATTTTGTTGACTGAGCATTCTTGGCAGAGAGCCAAGCATTGTCAGTTAATCAGTATTTGTTAAAACCCAAACTTTACAAAACTCAAACATAATTAGAATATTTGATACACTCAAATAAGTAAATACGTAAATGCTAGATCTAAAATTTTTTAAAAAATTATATTTAGTTGGCTAGACCGAATATTAGTTATAAAATATTGATATTGTGATTATGAGGTGATATTACAGTTTTGCATATAGTCCGTATACTTTAGACATTTACAGTGGTACCCAGAAAACAGTGAAAGATTATTGTCGTTCTTGTTTCCCAGTCCCACTCAGGGTGAGAGGTCAAAGACGACTGTTCGAAATTTATAATTTTTTTTTTACATATTGCAAGGGGTATTTGTTGCCTAGTCCTGCAGGCTTAAACCATTTGCTTTCAATGTCGACAAATAATTAATTCATTGTCTTGTGTTCACTTTTTTATGAGAGGGGGGGGGACTTTTTTTTAGTGAAATCTTTGTCTTGGATCAGCCGTTCCGAAATATATTGGACTCAACCAAACTCGAGACAAACAGACTAAACAATTATAGAAATAGATGAAGGTTATTAGGACTGATAATAGTATACTTACTGTTCAATAATAAACCTTAATTCATAAATCATATAATACAGAATTAATTTAGAATCCAGAGAGAGATTATAGTACAGGGTGTCCCAATAAACATGGGAATTCAGAGACGAATTCGATATGTCTTCTCAAAAAATTCTTTGATTTAGTATAGTGATACTTACTGAGAAAGCTGTAATCTGTAAGATTTTCGTCTGCTATGTTTAAAATTTGTTTGTTTATGTTTTGACTGCATACGGATGTACTTATTAAAACAATAAAAATTACAGTATACAAACAGAGTAATCTTGTCCATCTTCATTGTTCATCTTGCGGAGACATTATAGACACACTTTTACAGCAATTTCACCGTTTTCATACAATAAGCTTTAGCAGACATAATAATATTATGTCTTTTGAAATCAGGTATTGCAATTTTAATTCATAACAAAGACGATATCGAATTCGTCACTGAATTCCCATGTTTATTGTATTGTATATGATNGGGGGGGGAGTACTGGTTCCTTTATAATATGAGAATGATTAGGCATAAATTTATTCCTGAAATTCGATTTAAAAAGTTGTCTTGTATTACCCAAGTAATCTTTACACAAATAGATATATTTAAGGTCTTAAAGGCTTTTTACCAAACGGCAACTCCCAAAGGATATTTTCCCAAGCGGGAACTTCCCAAGGATATTTTCCCAAGCGGCAACTTCCCAAGGATATTTTCCCACGTGGCAACTTCCCAAGGATATTTTCCCACGTGGCAACTTCCCAAGGATATTTTCCCACGCGGCAACTTCCCAAGGATATCTTCCCAAGTGGCAACTTACCAAGGATATTTTCCCAAGCGGCAACTTGCCAAGGATATTTTTCCAAGTGTCAACCTCCCAAATGAAAATGTATTTATAGATTTCCCTTTCTGTCTGCACCCCTCTATATATAAGTGGGCGGGCTATTTTGAATTATGCCCCTGCCTTCCTACACCCCTATTTTTAAAAGTGGGCGGGCTATTTTGAAATATTCCCCTTTCTGCCTACACCCCTATTTATAGATGTGGGCGGGCTAGTTTAAATTATCCCAATATGCCTTCACCCCTGGCCCTGTATATATGTGGGCGGGCTAGTTTAAATCATGTATAGATATTTTTCTAGTTTTAACTTTCCAATATAAGAATACGTGTAATTTAATTTAATCAAAGAGTACAGAGGAGAGTTTGAAATCTGCAAAGTTTGGATTTTTAAACAAACATCATGGCTCAAGTTGCGTTTTTGAACATTTTCAAACGTTTACTTAAATTTCAATAAATTTGAATTCTCAAACATTACATATAAAATCAAAGGAAGATTTATTGATAAGGTAAAATATTACTATAATACATGAAGTTAATCACAATACTTCGGATTTATATTGAAACTGTAGTGAGATACACAATATTAGACTTATCTAAGATTAAAGGGACTGTAAAGGAAAAATGAAAGGGGGTATAGGATGAATTCTAAAAATTTCAGGCGTGAAACGATGTATATAACTTATAAGACATCTATCTGATGTTCCTGTCTAGAGAAATAGATATAAAACTGTGTCAAATTTATACGGAAATTAGTATATATGCAATTAACCAAATTTTTTCAGAATATAAAAATTGCAAGTATGATCTCATCAAGGAAGAAATTGGTTGAAAAATCTTTTGTTCAATTTTCCAGACATTACAGTGAAAAGTAAGTTTAAAACAAAAGAATAAATTTAAAAAAAACATATTAACAATAAAAACAAAGTTTGTTTGATTAATAAATTTCATTTTTATTTTTAAAGTCAACTTGTTAAAATATATTTTATTTGTATTTTTAGACTAAACATTAAACAACCAACTCGGCTAGGCTTTTACTTGTGGCTTTATCTGTGAGCATCTTCTTTTTGTTCAGTATAAAAAAAAAATATAAAAAGTTTGCGGGTTTCATAAAAATTTTTTTGCGCATTTTCAAAATTTTACAAAAATAAGAAAATTTTTAAACACAAATTTTTAAAATTTTAATCATTTTCTGATTCTTACTGTACGTTCAAGAAATGTGTATAATTCAGAATTTAAAAGTAAAGACGAGACAGGGTTACCTACAAATTTGAGCTTGTTAATTTCTTTGAAAATCATCCAGATTTGATTTATTATCAAAAACTAAAAAACTAAGTTTAACTAGGTCATCCTTTGAGGGTAACACAAACCCAGTAAAGTTGTAATGAGAATTGATATTTTTTAGATTCGATTTATTGATTGTTGGAGGTGGTATAATGGGTTCATCAACAGCTCATTGGATTAAACAGAGAACAGGAGCAGAGTTCTCAGTAGGTAACAATCCTACTCCAGTGTATAATAGAATACCTGGATATTATTCAATCCTTCTCCAGTATAAACTAGATACATGGATAGTATTAAATCCTTCTCCAGTATATAATAGATACATGGATATTATTCAATCCTTCTCCAATGTATAATAGAATACCTGGATAGTGTTTAATCCTTCTCCAGTGTATAATAGAATACCTGGACGTGTCTTTGTGAGCTCCCGGATTAAACTGACCGACAACCCAACACCGGGTTAACTTATTCACATGCTCCATATTATGTGAAAACACAAACACTCAGATAACTTGTTTAGTGCATTTATTTCCAGTAAAAAATATTTCTACTAGACTCAAAATGACTGACACAAAAATAGGATACCTGGATATTATTCAATCCTTCTCCAGTATATAATAGATACCTGGATATTATTCAATCCTTTTCCAGTATATAATAGGATACCTGGATAGTGTTTAATCCTTCTCTAGTATATAATAGGATACCTAGATAGTGTTCAATCCTTCTCCAGTATATAATAGATACCTGGATATTATTCAATCCTTCTCCAGTTTATAATAGATACCTGGATATTATTCAATCCTTTTCCAGTATATAATAGGATACCTAGATAGTGTTCAATCCTTTTCCAGTATATAATAGATACATGGATAGCATTAAATCCTTCTCCAGTATATAATAGATACCTGGATATTATTCAATCCTTCTCCAGTTTACAATAGATACCTGGATATTATTCAATCCTTTTCCAGTATATAATAGGATACCTGGGAGTGTTTAATCCTTCTCCAGTATATAATAGGATACCTGGATAGTGTTCAATCCTTCTCCAGTATATAATAGATACATGTATAGTATTAAATCCTTCTCCAGTATATAATAGATACCTGGATATTTTTCAATCCTTCTCCAGTATATAATAGATACATGGATAGTATTAAATCCTTCTCCAGTATATAATAGATACCTGGATAGTGTTTAATCCTTATCCATTATATAATAGGATACCTGGATAGTGTTCAATCCTTCTCCAGTATACAATAGGATACCTGGATAGTGTTTAATTTTCTCCAGTATATAATTGGATACCTGGATAGTGTTCAATCTTTCTCCAGTATATAATAGATACCTGGATAATATTCAATCCTTCTCCGGTATATAATAGGATATCTGGATAATATTCAATCCTTCTCCGGTATATACTAGGATACCTGGATAATATTCAATCCTTCTTCTTTATATAATAGATACCTGGATATTATTCAATCCTTCTTCTTTATATAATAGAATATCTGGCTAATATTCAATCCTTCTCCAGTATATAATAGAATATCTGGCTAATATTCAATCCTTCTCCAATATATATTAGGATACACAGTATTAGATTTTAGAGACGAATCTTGCTGTTTTCTTTATTCGATCAAGGTTTCCTTACTTCTGTCAAAGTTTTTTTGCGAAAACATTTGTTCAGTGTTAGAAGAAACCAACACCCCGTTCGGAATATTGAACTTACAGAAAACATTTAGAAATATATCCCGTCTTTACTCTTAGATAGATCTTTAAGATTTATATATATAGGTGGTAAAACGGCAAAAAAAATGGTCCAACAAATTTTAAATTTTTGAAAATCCACGATGAGCAACTTCAACTAAAATCATGATAAACTGAGGGAACTATGACTATGAATAAACCTGGGCAACACTGGGTTCTCTAGCTTGTAGTATATTGTAATCATTAATCATTAAACAACAACAACAGGATATTTGTGCAGGCGTTGTTGAACCTGATCCTAGTTATTCTACAGCAGCAACAACCTTATCTGTAGGGGGACTAAGGTAAAGTAAAGATTTTACAAAATTAAAAATTATAATTTTTTGGGTAAAAAATGTCTCATTTGTATTTGATCAATACTGGGGTTTCTTAGAGTTTTCGGTTAAGAGAAGAGTTTTTCTTCAGCAATAAAATACATGATTAGGTCTGGTTTAAAATTGCCAGAATTAATGGTTCACCCTGTATGATATTTTATTTTTAAGACAATTCTTATCACTAAAACTATTTGAACAAAATTTAAGTTTATTTTTTAATCAAGGCCAAGATCATTACATTTCGTCTCTTAAAAGTATTTGTAATGTTTTTTATGAATTATTTCAGATTTAAATAGTTTAGCATTTCGTTTAAAGAGTTTCAAACGTACTTAGATTTTTAAAAAACAGAAATTAATTTGAAGAAAGTAAATTGCTTTTAAAAACATTTTTTGAATAAAAAGTGTGAAAGAAGATGAATATTAGATTTCTTAGAAATTAAAATATTTGTTAACTTTGTTTAAACAAGCTTAAGTTTTTAATTAAATTTAGAAATTCTCAGACAGGTTTAAAGATATCAATTAAATGTTTCCTGCGACTCATTCTGAAGCTAAAATAGATTTTTCTCCTGTTTTAAGTCACTAAACCCTTCATCAAGACAAGGATTTTATTGAAAATTTTGACAAGTATTTACGGTGAAAATTAATAAATTTTAATCCCATTCCTCCCCCCCCCCTCCCCCTTCAACATTAGATCTTCATAGTTAAATGTGAAAAAAATTAAATCTCTGCCACTAACTCATATTTTTGGATTCTTATATGTTTGCAACCTAGGATAATTCAAACACAAAGTATTTGATCTAAAAGAATTGATAGTTTGAAATATCTAAGGTATATTCCATTGGGTTCCAAAGATAAAGGGGTTGCAAAATCAGAGTTTCTTGCAAAGACTCAATTTCTTCATTTAAAAATTCACATGAGGTTTTCCACTTTTCTAACCTATCTAATTACAAACTCTCAGTTGAAAAATTCCACGTTTTTAAGCTTTCCATTACGATGTACTCCTTGTTATCTTTTACATGACATATACTTTAGATGTAATTAGAATATTTTTATTTCATACGGTGATAACCAGAAAACTCTGAAATAGAAAGACGACTTTATGGCAATACTTATGAGTATTTTAGGTTGTAACAAAGCAAAATGTTTTTCCAGACACTTATTAAACCACTAATTAATGCTCATATTTAAAGTCAAAACTTGAGCTTGAAAGTCGTCTTCCTATTACTGGTTTTCTGGTTATGGCTGTATTATAAATTTACATTTGGACGGAATTAGTTTGGTCTCCAGTAATTGTTAAATCTCAGAACTATTGAACTATTGCCTATTGAACATTTCAGAACTAGGACTTTTCTGAGAATTGTTTTAATACCCTTCGCCAGAGATCTTCAAGTCGTTTCGAAATTGTCAGGCTTAGTGGGTCACCCTGTACAAAGGTTTGATATGTTTAGTGGGTCACCCTGTATAAAGGTTTGATATGTTTAGTGGGTCATTCTGTATAAAGGTTTGATATGTTTAGTGGGCCACCCTGTATAAAGGTTTGATATGTTTAGTGGGTCACCCTGTACAAAGGTTTGATATGTTTAGTGGGTCACTCATTCTGTATAAAGGTTTGATATGTTTAGTGGGCCACCCTGTATAAAGGTTTGATATGTTTAGTGGGTCACCCTGTACAAAGGTTTGATATGTTTAGTGGGTCACCCTGTATAAAGGTTTGATATGTTTAGTGGGTCACCCTGTATAAAGGTTTGATATGTTTAGTGGGTCACCTTGTACAAAGGTTTGATATGTTTAGTGGGTCACCCTGTATAAAGGTTTGATATGTTTAGTGGGTCACCCTGTACAAAGGTTTGATATGTTTAGGCAGCAGTTCTCCCTGCACGAGAATGTGAAGATAGGAATATTTGCCAGGTTGGAACATTTTGTAATAAATGCACCCTGTCATCAAAATTATTATAAATTCACCCTGTCATCAATATTTAACAATGTACATTCTATACTTCACATTATCCTTTCATAGTCCTTAGAACATTAATCAACTGTCATACATGTTTTAGTTTTCAAATAAATTAATAGTTTTTCTCAGAGACATGGCATTAAAATGAAAATGCAACAAAAACCATAAATATGAAAAACCTGAAGAACTCATAATACGTGTAAACAGACCAATTCAACGTAATAAGTGATTTACTAGGTTAATGCATGTAAGACTATTTGCTTAGCAACAACTTCAAATATTGCTTTAATGTCGTCTTCCTATTCCAAAGTTTTCTGGTTCTCACTGTATTTAGAGATTTTATGAACGAGTATCCTTATTCACTTCTAAATGGCAAAAGCAAAGACGATCTTCATCCAAACCTTCCAGATGTCAGGTATAATTTAAATAGATAAAATGGGACCCACTAAAAATCAGAATTTCTTGATAATTTAAAAATGGCCCAGTTTATCTTCTTAAAAATTTACAAGAAGATGATTTACACAAGTAGAAAATTTTGAAGCTTTTGCGCAATTTTTACAACTTTAAAGGCAATGTTCGCGAAAAATGAAAGGGGGTATAGGGTTAATGCGATAAAAAAAGCGCTTTTGATCGCTACTAATATTACTTCTATCTGTTGCGTCTATAAGGAGAAAATTGTTAAAGACTTCTCATACCGAATAACTTAGCGCCCATACAAATTCAGAAAATTGCAACATACGACTTAGACCGTAAAAAGTCCATTTAATTTCAAACAAATCATTCAGATAGTACAACCTAAAGTCATCGATTATCTTTCGCCACATTTGTATATAGTTTATATTTTATAATATTTTATATTTTTAGAAAACGTTTTAACTGATTTCGAAAAATATGAGTGGTCCGCAGCATTCTTAGATAGTTGCGAAAGCCACAAGAGAAATAATCAAATTCAAAACAAATTAATTAAAAAATATTATAAATATAAACTATATACAAATGTGGCGAAAGATAATCGATGACTATAGGTTGTAATATCTGAATGATTTGTTTGAAATTAAATTGATATTTACGGTCTAAGTCGTATGTTACAATTTTCTCAATTTGTATGGGCGGTTATTCGGTATGAGACATCCCATTCATTTTTCGCGAACACTCCCTTTAACTTTATTTATACAATAAAAATCTTATATTTGTTATATATATATATTTATGTGTTAGCTGTAGCTGACAATTTTTGAGGGAACCCATGGGTACCTTGGCCGTAACGTAGACTGACAAAAATAATTTGTTTTTCAAAAATCTAAATTTTTGTCTTTAAATTCGATATTTAATTTTTAAAATTCAAAAAAAAATTCCATGGGAAACGCCGGGCACTTTAGTTAGTTACTTTATAAAAACTAAATCTAGAAGAAAGTGCTTTATTGTTACAAAATGAACATGTCAAGGGCTACTAAAAAGTAGAAGTGAGTTAGTTAGGCGTTACGACACAATTGAAACTTTTGTGCTGTGAATTCATGGAATACAGGGTGTCCCATGAAACATGACAGTTGGTGAAAAGTTTAAAATGTCTTCTTCCAAAGTTTGTTAAGTTCTTTGAACCCCAAGAGAATAATATAAAATTTTCATGCCAGCCATATTATAGTAAACTTAATTTCAAAGTAAAATATATTTGAGTAACAGATGTTTTAAACTAAATAAACTGCAAAAAGTCTATAATATCTAATACAGTACATGGAAGAAGACATTCAAAACTATTCAAAAACGGTCATGTTTCGTGGGACACCCTGTATTTATGAGGAACCTTAAATTACCAGATCAAGCAATTAAAAAGGTCATTGTGGATATCGAGACCTTAGATTTAATAAGAAATATTACTATCCATACAAATTGAATAAAGAAAATTAGAAAATAAATTTGAATATTTAAGATTTCAACGTCACGGTTACCTGTTTCTGGCTAGTGAAGCCGGTCAACATATTCTAGAGGACAATCATAGGAAACAACATAAAACTTTTTCATTCAATTGTGGCGGAAGACGAGCTAGTCTGAAGAGTCTGGAGCTGGATATTGAGACGCGGCAAGAGGAGCATAATTAATGACAATTCCTGCCACGTCACCATCTATATACACAATTTTCGATATTCTAAATTTGCAAAGATTATTCATTCAGTTAATAAAGTAATTATTTAAAACCGTCGTTGTTAAACTGAGCGTATCTAAACAATGATATTTCTAAATCACGTTAAACGTAAAAACTGATCAAAATTTACTTTACAAAGAAAAAATCGATTCATAAAAAAGCACGAAAAATCTAAAACGAATAAATACTTTTTTTGTAAGAAACGAACAATTTCGTTAACTTTACTGACCTATAACGAACGGATAAGATCAAAGTACGGGGGTTGCAATGCACGTACTAGCGTGTTCAGCCCTATATGTATGTAAAATGTACAATTTAAGCAGATACATAATAATAAAATGAACTCAAAGTGCAGTGCGTGCTTACTGTGGTCCTAGGTTGGATTTTATGAACAAAAAGAAGTGGTTGAACTAGTAGTAATTCGACTGCTTCTAACTATTCATTATTTCTGACCTCTGGAATCCTATAATTACAATGCTGGTTTGGATTCTTAAAAAGCAAAATAACGCTCTTTAAGACTATGCCACCTTGAAGTTTTTATTCTATTTTACTACCCTTTCCCATCTAATCTATAAATATGAATGAATGATGAAAAGGTTGATCAAATTAACCTGGAAAAAACTTGTCTAAATACTATGAATGGTTGAGTTATGTTGTATACAGAGTTCAGATTGAATCCGGAGCAAGAACTAAGATACTCAATACTAGGAAGTTAAAGGAAACATTTCCTTGGTTAGAAACAGGTAAATCAAAGGATATAAATCCGCGATTTTTGAATTTAAATGTTTAGATTAGGATCCGGGTCTATGTTTAGATGGAATAGGATCCGGGTCTGTGTTTAGATTAGGAACCGGGTCTATGTTTAGATGGATTAGTATCTAGGTCTATGTTTAGATAGGTTAGTATCCGGCTCTATGTTTGGATGGGTTAGTATCTGGATCTATGTTTAGATGGGTTAGTATCGGGGTGCTATGGGGGTGAGGATGAAGGATGGTTTGATCCTTGGGCTCTTCTCCAGGCTTTCAAACTCCAGGTTATGTTCTTTTATTCAATTATGTTTTAAAAACATTATTAAAAATAAATATATAATTCAGGCAATCCATAATGGGGCTGAGTATATTACTGGTAGAGTATCTAGTTTTCAGGAGGGGAACGCTTCTTTGAAAAAAAATAACTTCTTGAATTATCCATTTCAATAAATAAAATTATCCATGTTCAAATTTGATATATGAATTTATTTACTCGAGGTATACTTTTGCAGAGCAATGCATATCGTGCATAAGTAATATTGAATATAATTCTCTTTTTGAATTCTAATAAATCTTTCAAGGTCAAAAGTATTGTCAGATTTGTCACAAATGTTGCGAAATAAATGTCCCTGGTTTAGTACAGGAATGAAAGGCCAGGTTCTGCTACAATTTCCCTTCAGGTAATCAACTGGTATTTTAACAAACATTATATACACTGTAATAATAAACATTATATACACTGTAATAACAAACATTATTTACACTCTAATAACAAACATTATATACACTGTAATAACAAACATTATCTACACTGTAATAACAAACATTATCTACACTTAATAACAAACATTATCTACACTGTAATAACAAACATTATCTACACTTAATAACAAACATTATATATACTGTAATAACAAACATTATCTACACTGTAATAACAAACATTATATACACTGTAATAACAAACATTATATACACTGTAATAACAAACATTATATACACTGTAATAACAAACATTATATACACTGTAATAA